TCCCCAGCCTCCTGCAGAGAGACCCCCTCATATCCCCGTGACCCTGCTCTGACTCCTGCACCCCACCCCCCCATACCACCAGCCCCCTACCCCAAATGACCCGCACAATGCTGGGCAAGTCTTCAAGTTCAAAATACTGTAAAATGTCCAAGTACTATAAGTTGACTGAAACCAAGCCAAATTATCTCTGTTTGCATATCTCGGTGTGTTTTTAAAGCGTTCAGTATAAATGGGCTGTTGCCTGTCTCCTACCACTACTTTGTATCAGGGTGTAGCAGTTCCAAATGTGAGCGGCCCCACTGGTTTCAGTTGGGGTTACTCATGCTAAGTAAACATTATGCCTGGAGGTATTTGAAGAATTGGGGCTGTAATTTTTAAATGCAAAATAATATATAAATGTGGGCTGCTTCTGTCTCTCCATAGTAGTTCTGCCTCATCCTCTCTTTTAATGAATACTATTTCTCTAACTCCTGGGGTGATTTGATGAGAAATGCTTTGGAAAGATTGTGAAGTGCCCTGCTACATACTGATGGAAAGTGCTACTATCAGCTGAAGTGTGTGGGGGAGGGCTATTAGTTGTATCGTTATTGAGCTGAGAGCCCCTCTGACAGCAGTGAAGGGGCAAATCAGTTGTATGCCTGCACTTTGTAGGTTAGCAAGGTCATTTTTTATTCATGGATCATACAAGCTTCTAACAAAACTTGCTTAAGATAAAAAGTTACTAGAAACCGATTGTGTAGATGGCAAAAAAATTGAAAAAATGTGTAAGTGTTTGGTTTGGGATGAAATGCCGCTGCCATCTGACTTAAGAACTGGCCTGGGGACCAGCGGACAGGCATTACCACTAATCAGCACTCACTAGAGACGCCCACCGGTTGAAAGAGCACGGAGTAGCTCTTATTTCTAGAGGTAGCCAGTGCAGTCATGTCTGACACACACAACTGAAGGTATGTGCAGCCATTGCCGTTCTTACGCCTACAAATCTGGCACAGAAGTTTATAGTAAATTGCATGGTAGAAGTGCAGGGAGAAAACTGAAAGTCTTGAAAGGTCACCAAATAATGTATTTCCACCTGCTGTCCTTAACAAGGGAAAGCTATACATTTCCTCCTTTGAAACCGTCAGATTTACCAGAAATGATGATTGAATCCGTGCTGTCACCAAGAACTATTACACTAATGCTTTCCTTCCTTCTGCCTCCTCTCCCCCTCCCCCTTTCTCCCCCCCCTCCCCCGCCCAATAATTTAAACAGCAGATTTTGTTAGTGGCAGTATGTTTGGTTACAGAAGACAAGAGCAGACTCCGGGCAGGGGTAACTGAATTATGAGTGGGTGCTGAAAGGGGAGGGCCGGGAGCTGGCAGGGAGGTTGGAGAGAGACCCCCCCTTCACTTACTCTGCAGCAGTGGGCCCATTTCCCTGGTGCAGGTGTTGTGACCTGACATACACAGTCACAGCCCCACTCTGGTTTAGTTTATCTGCTCTTCCCCGTCCATCTGGGGGCTCCAGAATGACTCTGGCAGCCAGGTCCCCACCCCCCAGCACCTACTGTCCCTTCCCCCACAGGTCCAACCCTCCTGAAGCTTCTGATTCCCTTCCCTCTGGGTGTGTATAGACTGCAGCCCTCTGTTTATGCAGATTAGGCAGGTCGACATTGCAAATGAGGCAGGGATTTAAATATCCTGTGCCTAATTTGCATAAAAATGGCCACAGCGTTTTGCCGATTCAGCACTTTGTCGGCAAAAAGCGGCAGTCTATAGGGGGATCTGCCGAGAGAGAAAGCCTTTTTCGACAGATCCTGAAACCCTCCCACGCTCCTGTCCTCACGCTCCCTGCTGGTTAGCCCAAAGCCCTTGGGCGATGGGTTTGTCCATTTTCCTGGACCCAGCTGGTCCCTGATGCCAAGAGTTGCTGCCACCTTGGTTTTGGCAGGTGCGGGCCTGGCCATTGTCACGTGGCGTGATACGTAGTGCGTCTCAGCTGGCACATGGAACAAAGCAGCGTGGGTGGGGGCCAGACTCTCGGGATGGACCACGTCATCCTCCCTCCCAGCCATGTTTAAACAGAGGGGGAATGCCTGGCCCTTTGGTTCCCCCATTTCTGTTGCTGATGCTAGGCCTAGCCCCGTAACACAGGAACTGCTGCTACGGGGTGGGCTTGTCATGGGCTTTATTCAGATTCATGATTGCTACGAATGCATGTGAAAATCATCGCTCAGCCACACTTTATCAGTTCCGAGAATCTTTACAGGGCTTCCATTTAGAGAGCTGTCAATCAAATGCCTTTCTTCGGTAGTAAACTCCTTTAACTAAAGATGGTAAATGTTAAAAACCCCAATTTTGTTTCTTGCTTTTGGGTTTTTTCTGTCTTGTAAATCTTGGCTATTCAAATGTTCTTAGTTACCCATCTCTTCGTTCCAACCATTAGGTGACGCTTAGCGAGGGTCCCCATCACGTGGCTGTGTTCAAAGACAGCTCTCGGGAGTTTGATCTGTCCAAGGAAGAGGATGTAAGTACAAGAATCTTGATCACCTCTTTGTGTGGAAAAATAGATGTCTGTGCTGGCTATTGCCCACTGAGTAAAACAAGGAGAAGACTGTTGAACCAAGTGGGGCACTTTGTTAACTATTACATGATGGCTAGGTCTATAGTAGGGAGAATATTGATGCTACGGTGGCTAGTAAAGACCTGCTAAATCAAACTCGGAGGTGTGCCCCCATCAATGTTGGTCCTTTTGGATTCATAAGGAGTAAGGGAGGCATTTGCTCCCATCGACCTCCTGCTGTGAAGCTGGCGCAAAAGATCAGATGAAGGTATGTTGACTCCAGCCATGCAGTTAACGTAGCTGGAGTTGCGTATCTTAATTTGAACTTCTGGATAAGCAAAGACTTGGCCTCAGTTTGTGTCATTGCTGCCTAGATTTGAATGGCAATGAAGTGAGCATAATATAGCAGAAAACTGAGTGCAACCACTCCTGCTCCCTGGTAGGTGACTGAGTTTTGAGAGTCCTGGGACAAGTCAGTAACCCTCACCATGTTTCCATTTACCAAACTATCAAATTGATATTCTGCTTTGTTTTGAGGCTGAGTCAGTGACTGTAACGCTGACCTTTGGGGGAGGGGCTTTGTACAGCCGCTAAGTCATCCTGCTTGCCACAGTTGGTGTCTGTTCTTGAGTATTAAGTAGTATTTGCTTGTGATGAATATAATGTGATCTCTGTGTGTGACCCCAGCTTGCAGCCTTGAGACATGAGATAGAGATCCGAATGAGGAAGAGTGTGAAAGAAGGCTGTACCGTCAGTGCTGAGGTGAGGTTCACCATTCATTTCATGCGAAGTCTTGTCCCATCGACTATGAGGCTCTGCCTGATCAGTTTGTAGCTATTTCAAGATCTTGTACTGTATAGAGAAACATATTTATACCATGAAAATGGTTCTGCTGTTGAGTATCTTGGTCAGCTGGCCTCTTATTTAAAAAAAAAAAAAAAAAAAGTCATACCCCCTAGTGAACATAAGAACATAAGAACGGCCGTACTGGGTCAGACCAAAGGTCCATCTAGCCCAGTATCCTGTCTACCGACAGTGGCCAGCACCAGGTACCCCAGAGAGGGTTGACCGAAGACAATGATCAAGCGATTTGTCTCCTGCCATCCCTCTCCAGCCTCTGACAAACAGAGGCCAAGGACACCATTTTATCCCCTGGCTAATAGCCTTTTATGGACCTAACCTCCATGAAATTATCTAGCTTCTCTTTAAACTCTATTATAGTCCTAGCCTTCACCGCCTCCTCTGGCAAGGAGTTCCACAGGTTGACAACACGCTGTGTGAAGAAGAACTTCCTTTTATTAGTTTTAAACCTGCTACCCATTAATTTCATTTGGTGTCCTCTAGTTCTTCTATTATGGGAACTAATAAATAACTTTTCTTTATCAGCCCTCTCCACACCACTCATGATTTTATAGACCTCTATCATATCCCCCTCAGTGAAAAGTTTATTCCAACTTTTTTTTTATAGACTATCTCCTTAAATGTGAAAGGTCCTGGTCTGCAGAGGATGGTGTTGGTAGATTTACCCGGTGTCATTAGTGTAAGTAGAGAGCAGTCAATTAATGCAGTCTTCCCCAAAGGATGCAATCTTTCATTCCATCTTTCTTTTAAAAAATACGTTCTGTTGGTTTTTTTAAGACTGTGACATCTGGTATGGCTCCGGACACGAAGGATACTATCTTTAGCATCAGCAAGGCCTACATGCAGAACCCTAATGCCATCATCCTTTGTATTCAAGGTAAATTAGGATTCTAGACAATAAATGGCAAATTGTGCTAATTAAAACCTTGCAGTGTGTTCTTTAGATCATTCATCTAGATTTCTAGAACAGTAACCCTGAACAGAAGTCAAAAAGCTCTTAATTTCTCAGTGCAGTTTTAGGAAATGCTCTCGAGGCAGGTCATTTGAAATATTGTGGGAATTTGCACTGTGGGCTCCACAGTGTACACTGTGATATCTACATTTTTTTTCTTAAACTCATGCCATTGTTTGACCCTTTTGCCTCTAACACAAAAAATATTATATTTATTTTTATTACTTTTAAAATATAACCAAGACCGCAATAGAACTGTTTATACTTAAGGTTTCCCCAAAACAGTGTTCTCCTGCGCTTAACAACAGTAGAGAGATTTTTGTACAAAGAATTGTATCATGTACTTTTTCCAAATAATTTTGGTGAATACTTTCAAGTCTTGGTGTATTTTAGTTTTGGTGGAAACTTACTTGCATTATTAGTCACCAGGTGAAAATAATTTTCTGATGCAAATTTGTGCTACTTGTACTAAAAGCAAAATAATGAGGAGCATTCTGACATTACTATTTTTAACTTAAACAATTTGCTACAAAATAACTGTAGTGCCAGCTGAGTAGTCAGAGATTGAGCACTGAAGATTGTACAGTAGTTCTTGAAATGGCATTTTAAAAATCTTTTCAGATGGGTCGGTGGATGCTGAACGTAGTATCGTCACTGATTTAGTCAGTCAAATGGATCCTCATGGGAAAAGGACCATCTTTGTTTTGACTAAAGTGGACCTTGCTGAGAAAAACGTGGCCAGCCCAAACAGGGTAACTATATAAGCCCTCTGTTTCTATGTCAAAGCATATAAAAGGGCACTAGTGCAGAAGATTGTGGTGCAAATACAAACATAAAATCACACCTAACTTTTGGGGAAGGTTTTCAAAAGACCTTTCAACTCTCTTATTTTCTCCATTTGTAAAATAGGTATATATTTCCCTTATTTGTAATATATGGAAGTAAAACGCTAAATAGCTTGCTATTAAAATGTATTTTTCTTTTAAGTAATATCCAAGACAGTCAAGAAAACATTTATTATTCATAAGTTTATTTAAGTTTAATTGTTGTGAGAACTTTCAGTCCAGTGAACATTGATTTTGAAGTGGCTTTCCACCCTCGAGCTATTTATTGTGGATTTTGGTATTGAGTTTGTCCTGTATTCGAGTCTTTCTTTAATTATCATTTTCAAAGTGCAATAAAACCTCTGTATAATCTCCTATATAGTCTCCTATATAGTCTATCTGTGGAATATATTGGAGACATTTTAATATATGGATTTAAAAAGAGAATGGATACAAGATCAGCATACTTTTGTACTTTATTTCCGTAGATACAACAAATCATTGAAGGTAAACTCTTCCCAATGAAGGCTTTGGGTTACTTTGCAGTCGTTACAGGAAAAGGTAATCAGAGTTCTGTTCCTGGTTCTTTTTTATTTGTTGATACAGAATCAAAGTCTAAATGGAATTGTTATGGCTCTCTCTCCCTTCTCCAGGAAACAGCAGTGAAAGTATTGAATCTATTAAAGACTATGAAGAGGAATTTTTTCAAAATTCAAAATTGTTGAAGTAGGTTGCTATTTATACTTGATACTAAAGTGACTCTCATCAGTAAGCTAGCATACATTCCTGTAGCTTAACTCTGCTGCAGACCTTTAGCATGAAAGCTCTATGTATATGTTACAGGGTCTACTAATCCTCAGAGCTTTTGGTGGCAAGCAGAGCTGTCCTTTCAGACGTGCAGCTGTGTGGCCCACCCTGATTTAGCAAACTTACACTTGAGCTCAGGAAAGAAGTAGGATTCATGTTGCTTAGGCAGTGAAGTCCAGACTTTCCTTCTGGGGTTGCAGGACACTTTTTTTCCCCTTGTTATTCAAGGAGAACTCCGAATACCGTTATGTACATTAGATATTTTGTGGGGAGAGTCAAGGTTTTAGGTTCGGATGATGCATATTCTGGTGTTAAATTGTTCTTCAGTATAGAAAGCAAAGATTTATTGCTGGAGCAAAGGCACTTTTAAAATGCTGCTCTGTCTGTACAGGACGTGTATGCTGAAGGCACACCAGGTGACAACGCGGAACCTGAGTCTTGCTGTGTCTGATTGCTTTTGGAACATGGTGAGAGAGTCGGTGGAGCAGCAAGCGGATGCTTTTAAAGGTAATACCCCAACGACAAAGTCTGCTAGTATTGGCTAGTGTTAGCCATAGTGTGTCATGGAGCTTTGCTAATGTCCTGTGCACAGTTGCATGAATGATCTGTAATTCCAGTGTTTGGCGTCCTCTGGCCAGTGCGCATCTGCGCGTTGTCTTGTATGGAATCATTCATGAGAAATTGCCGTGTCGTGCTGCCTTAGGGATCTCAAGTGAAGGGTAGTTTGTGGCTCAAAGGCCTCGACTTTATTAAATAAACAAATTAACATCTCACCATGATACAGTCAGCAATAAACCAACCTCCCCGAGAAAAGAACCATTGGGCATGTGCCCTCCCCTGCTAGTGGATGGATAAGAGGGAAAACCTTGGTGCAGAAGGAGAAACTGAATGGCCCTTTGCGTCTCTCCCAGCTCAGCTAACCGGGTGCAGCTCAGCCCCTCCCAGCCACTAATGGTCTGCCTGCACTGCAGCCGGCAGCCAGCCAGCTACTCAGGCCAACAGACTGACGCTAGCCGGGCTGCAGATAGCAGTTTGGCCTGGCCGCTTGGGCGGAGCTGTGTATCTCATGCCCAAGTAACAACATCCAGGCTGCTTTTGCAGCATGCTAACTTGAGTCCCACTAACACAAGACTGCGTGGCTAAGCTGGGAGTCTCTTTGTCAGCTGCAGGGTAGGCAAGCCCTAAGAGGGCTCCTTAGATCCAGAGGAGCGACCTATGGCACAGCCCGACGCTGAGCTGGGCTGTAACTAAGTCAGGAGGGATGAGAAGCCCTGGCATCCACACAGGAAACCCGCAGGAAAGCCAACTCCATCTCCGCTGCCCTATGAATTTGTGGAAGGTAGGGGTGTCCAGGGCTGACCAAATTCATACTGTGCTAGTGAGGGGCCTAACTGTTTGTTGCTGAACATGAGTCATCGCTCTGACCAATCCACAGTGTCCTTAAATGATCTTTCCTCTTCTTGACATTCTGGTGGCAACGTGCTCCGCCAAGCTTCATCCCAGTTACTGTAAAACCCTAACCGAATCCTCCTCCTCCTCCCACGGAAACCATTTTCCTAGCCTTCTACATGTGCTGCAGCTGGGTCTCCTCCTCCCACGGGCCCTACCATCTTTGCAGTGGCACTAAGGGTTCTGCCTGTCTTCCCACTGCTGCGGAGAGGCCTTCCTATTTGAGTCCAATTTGTTAGACGTTTTTCTTTTTTGTGCTGAGAAGTCCACATTTTCCTCCTGTACAGATATAATGGGGATCTCCTGCTCCTTTCTCTGTAAAGGAACTGGCATCTCTCCAGTTTGGGAACCCTTTGCAGTTTGCTAAATAATATCTTTAGCCACAAAGAGAAATTTTACAAGAAAAATAGTAAAATAACGAATTTGAAGTTTGGTTTTTTTATGGTTTTTTTGTTTTTTCCAGTAACAGACTAACTTCGCTACCCCTCACAAGCTTTTTAGGCACAAGGAGAGCTGAAAAGAAAGTTTCAGCCTTTGTGTTCTTACAGTAACTGAATTCACTCCGCTGCTAAGCTGATAAATGTAACACAACAGAGATGTGCATAAAGTGTTCTTGATTGAGACTGAGCCCATAACAGAGATCCCCTTGAGACTGTAACCTGATGTGCTGATCATACCACTGAGCCTGCATGCCTGTCCTCTGGGGCACCCCACCACACTGTCCTGCTGAGGCAGCACCTCTGGTGACTCCCCCAGCAATGGCACAGATTTGGGGTCACAGCCCACAGCATGTGGGACACCTCCTCAGATGTGCCCCAGAATCCTTTGCACTGATTGGAGACCGCTGCGGGGACATTCAGGGAGGGAGGGAGAGGGGGAGACATGCCTGAATGTAACATGGGATTAAGGAGCCTGCAGCTGTGTGAGTGGAGATCAGGAATCCCACGACCTTCTCTAGGAAGAGAGCTGGCAGCCGGCCCTGCCTCCCTCTGGAAAGGAGGAGGGGAAAGAAGACCCGCCGCTCCTTCTGAGGGAGGCGCTGTGTCTGTCTTACAGGGGGGAAGGGTAAGACCTGGGGTGGACAATCCTCCAAGAAGCATCTTGCCGTAGGTGCCCCAGAAGTGGAAGCCCGGCCCGGCCCCAGAATGAGAAGGCTGGGTGCTGGGCTCTCCTGGCTGTGGGTGATGGAGCAGCTGAGATTCCGCAGCACAAGGAGAACGGGGCGTGGGAGCAGGATCCTGACCCACTTCACCCCCATCTACCGCTGATGGGCCACAGGCTGAGAATCACTCGCCCAGTGTGGGGCCCCAGCTGAGAAAACGGAAGGGGGGATGAAACTGGAGATTTCCTGCTCTCTTCCCTTCCTGTGGGCTGCTCTTCCAAGAGCCATTCAGCTCTGGGAAGGCTCAATCAAAGGGACTTGGCACAGCCATCAGGTGCACAGCCCCAGTGGGACCAAAATCCTTATTCAGAGTGAGCTCGTAAGTTGTTAGCCCCCTTTATCAGTGAAAGAGAGCTGTGCACAGCTGTTATCTCCTCCCTCCCTTCCCCCAGATTATAATCACTACTCAGTGTAAGTAATTATTAATAAACAAGAGTGACTTCATTAGGTATAAAAGGTAGGATTTAAGTGATTGCATGTAACAGCAGACAAATCAAAGTAAGTTACTAAGCAAAATAAAACATGTCAGCTAAGCATTCTGAACAGAGTATAAATGTCTTAATTGCATCTCTTTGCTTTTTCTTTTGATAGCAACACGTTTTAATCTTGAGACCGAGTGGAAGAACAACTATCCCCGGTTGCGAGAGCTTGATCGGGTAAATTCCATTGCACATTTACTTGATACATTAGAAATTGTGTGTTAATATTATGGGTTAGAAATGATAGGTCTCATCCTCGTTCGTACTATGGCTCCTTTGCAGCACTCTGGCTTTGTAAAGGGACCTTAAAGGCATAATTCATCTTCATTTCACTTTTAAGGCCTCTTGCAGCCACCAGAACTGTGTAAATGAGAATCAGATCTTAGGTAATATGAAATCAGTTGCTTCAAAAATTTAGTCACTTGAGCTTAACAAAACGTAAGTCTCAGTTTTCAAATAGCTGCAGTGCTGCCGAAATCCTGTATTCTCTACTGAGTCAATCTACTCGCCCTAGCCTCTGTTTGCCAGAAGCTGGGAATGGGAAACAGGAGAGGGATCACCTGATGATTCCCTGTTCTGTTCACTCCCCCTGGAGCCCCTGACGCTGGCCACTGTCAGCAGACAGGACACCGGGCTAGAGGGACCATTGGTCTGACCCAGTCTGGCTGTTCTTATGTTCTAACAAGGAATGATGCTTCTTTGTAATCATGTAGATTATTGTTCTGTCAGCTCATCCTGTTTTCTCTGTCCTTGCAGGAAGACAGGAAATTGTCTTTCTCTCTGGTCCTTTGTAAAGGTTCTTTTCTGTTTTAATCCCCCAGCTTGCTCCTAGGAATTGAGCAGCTGGGCGGAACAAACGACTAAGGACTATGCACTGGGCTAGCATGTGTAAGAGTGAATGCTGTCCAGAACACAACTGGAAGGTTGTGGTTTAGATTTGCAAGCCATGAAAAAGTATTCATTTGCACCTCATAGAAAACTAAAGTCTGGACATATTCAAGGTAAAGACATCATCACAGGGTCTTCATTGATTTCCATCCTTGTCTTTGCACAGAATGAACTGTTTGAGAAAGCGAAGAATGAAATCCTTGATGAGGTTATAAGTTTGAGCCAGGTCACACCAAAGCACTGGTACAGTAACTATTCAATTCCACGTTTATGCTATATGTTCCTCTTCCAAAAATGATAGTCCCAGGCGTGAACCTGAACATGCAAAAGCAAGGATGCTTTTACATTTTGATAATGGATCAACAGTTGGTCATGTTCTCACTAAGTGTGAATTTTTGTAATCCTTCTAATTTTCTTGATTCATGTACCACCAAGTGTGCTGAGGTAGCACACATGTTTTCCATACACAATCTTGAAAATATTAATTTCTGTAATTTCTTTGAAAATCAGAGACTGGGGGTTGAAAGACAAGATAAGCCAACTTCAAGGCTAAGAATTAACGGTTCCTTTTGAGGTTTCCCTCTACACAGAGGAGTCCCTGGCTAACAGAGACACCGTTCTACTTCTAACTGTCTTTTATCCAGTAAGACAGGAGAGCTAGGGGAAAGAGCATAGCCCAAACATTCCCACATTCTAGCTTCAGCCACTTTTGCACCCTCTGCCTCGGAAACTGCAGCTTGGTCACAGGTTAGAATCTGGGGCAATTGCAGTCCATTAAAGAAAACAATTCCCTCAAAACAGATCTCGGCTGTGACTGTTTTCTGTGCAGTACGTTCTTCTGGGTTCCTATTTTGGCCTAAGGTTTCAGAGCTCAGTGCATTCATTGCCTAATCTGACCCAGGTTCCTCTGTTCTACCCATTGTATCACATGTGTGAGAAGTACCAATATTGCTATACTTGTGATCTGTCAGATGCTAACATGTCACCACTATGATCCAATTTAATTATTAAAAAGTCTGCTGTTGGTGACAGGGAAACTGGCAACCTGGGCCATAAAAATATCCATGTGTTAGACACTGAGTACAGAATGATATGCAACAAGTGATCAGCACATGCAAAGTGATAGTGACGAGTTGCTGAGGACTGCATATTGTTCTAACGTGTTACACTTTCCATTGTGTCTTTTTAAGGTTGATTTGTTGATCTGATGAAACTGGCCTGACAATAAGGAAGCTTTTGAGATTGCATTTGCTCATAGTCAGAGGATCCAGCCTCGCTCTGTTACTCATTGTAAGGGACAAACACCTTCCCTGATGGTTCCAGCATCCTGGCCTAAGCAAAAGTATCATGCAATATCATCACTCTCAGTAGAGCTCTCCTTACTCCAGTAAAGGAGTTTGTGCTTTGTCGTTCACACTTACTGTGGTGTGAACAAAAGCTTTTCAGGAAACCATCATTTTTGCTAGAGACCATAGCCATTTTTATTTACTAATGGTAAATTTTCCAGAATTCTTTCTTGTTTTTTGAAGGTTCCTATGAATAGTTTTACAAGCTTTGAAAACATATTTAAACCAAAATCCTTTCCCAAATTTAAAGAATGGAGTGACTTCAGCCCCGTCTGTATTGATGTGGCAGGCAGACAGATTTGAAGTTACTACAGCTTGAGGAGAATAAAGATATTTAATAAAAGTACAGCAAAGGCCGACTTACTAGTATGCTAGTGAAATGGAAGGAGGTGGAGCGACACTTCTGAAAAGTTCCTCAGACATTCCTCTTGAGTTGGCATATCAGCTGGCCTTGAGCCTGCTGTGTCCTGAATATTTGAATGACAACGCTGTCCCCTTTAGCGCCTATTATGTGAAATTTTCCAAAATATTTTCATACAGTGTCCCTGTAGCTGTGTTAGTCCCAAGATGATATAGAAAAAGGTGGGTGAGGAGCTGAAGATGAACTCTGTCAGTGCCAAAGCTTGTCTTTCTCAACAACAGAAAAGGGTCTAATAAAAGTTGTCACCTCAATCACCTTGTCTCTCTAAAATGTTTTAAAACAGTATTTAAAAATGATTTGGGGGAGCTAAATCATCACTAATAAAGCCTGTGTTTTCTTTACTGTCTATACAATACAATTAGGAAAAATGGTTGTTCGGTCCATAGCAACATGAGAATCTAATATAACAAATGAACTGTGTCATATATTCATGATGACTCCTTAGCTAGTTTCATTATTCGTCAGGCCTCTGAACATTGGTAAAAGTTCCAGGCAGTTCATGGATAGGGGTTTGCGTTAGGAATAATGACAATACAAGAGGACATCTGTTTTGTTAGTTTATTAAAGTAGGTTAAGGTGGATTGGCCATATGGATTAGAGCTCTGTGGACTGGAAGTCATCAGAGATGTTCTACTTTTCAATTTAGGGAGGAGATTCTTCAGAAAACATTGTGAGAACATCTACCTGCCGGCAGCACAGACCACAAATTCAGGGACATTCAACACCACTGTGGACATCAAGCTGAAGCAGTGGACTGACAAACAACTGCCTAATAAAGCAGTAGAGGTTAGAATTTATTTGGTAGAATGCATTTTAGTTTTCTAATTAAAAATATCTCCTTGCTTTCATATTCACAACTCTTCATTTTTCTGTTGGCAAGCCTCCTGAAAGGAAGGTTAGGAATTAAAACTAAATGGCACCAGAAGAGCAGTTCTGATTGTTGTTCTGACAGCCGTGCTCCTGCCCATTCCAGCTAATCTGTAAGAGCTCAGAGCCACAAAACCACTGGAAACATTATTTGACTGTTCCACTAAATATTTTCCAATACAAATTCCTCTTAAGTGTCAAAGCTGGAAGCTAAATGTATCCATATTCCCCCAGTCCCACCTGAATAATTCATCTTTCTGTTCCTCTGTTGCCGCTAAGTGAGCAAAGTTTAGTGTTCCTTTCTCTGATATGTGAGCCACGGAAGCAGATCACTACATTCTCGTGTCTTGGTGAGCGAGTATTTGCATGCTTGCGAGATTGTGCTAGTCACTGCGATACATGCACAGCAATGGACTGCTCCAGAAGGAAACTTTCTGTTAATTTTCTAGGTGGCCTGGGAGACTCTGCAGGAAGAATTTTCTCTCTTCATGACAGAAAGGAAAGGAAAAGAGCATGATGACATCTTTGACAAACTGAAACAAGCTGTCAAAGAAGAAAGTATAAAACGACACAAGTGGAATGAGAGAGCAGAAGACAGCCTGGTACGGTGTGGTAGTCATTCGTGTGGCTGCCAAGCTATTGCCTTTGAACTCATTTTGATTTAAGAGGCATTGTTCGTTTTACTTGCATTTTTGTGTTAAATCATAAAACTGTTGGGAGAAGTTCTAGGGAATTGAATCTTTGCTTTTGAATGGCATGATGTGAATGAGTGGTTCTTTGGGGGGGGGGTTGTTTCATTTTATTTTTTATTATTTTGTATTTTATTTTACTTTATTTCATTTTAACCATACCTTTCATGGACAGGTACCTTCCCAGTACCCAATAATCTCACTGTTTGGTCCTCAGGTTTATTGAGGTTTTTTTTTCTTGTGCCCCACGACCCACTGGATGAAAATCACATAAATAAGTAAAATGAATGAATAATGTAAACTTAAGAGTGTAGTAAATAGTAGTTATGTGCCCCTCTGGTAGGCTGGGTCCATGATCCAGAGGGATTCCTGGCTGACAGTCGAATGTAGTTGTGTTGGTCCCAGGATACTAGAGAGATGAGATAAGGTGAGGAAATAATATCTTTTATCAGACCAACTTCTGTTGGGGGGAGTCAAGCTGAGCAGTGTGTTTCTTGTGTATATCTGTCTGATCAGCCTCAGTAAGGCAACCCAACAGACAGCTATAAACAAGAAACCCATTGATTCCCACACCTACCTTCATAGATACAGTAACCACCCCAAGCACACAAGCCTTCTGTTCTCTACACACCGGCACTTGGGTACCACAGAATATGCTCAAAGGAGAAAGTTTGGCATATGCACCGTCACCCGTTCAAAACCACCTGTGATGTATAAGGACTCTTCACTAGAGAAATCGATTGCACCGTGGAATGGGCCACTCAGATACTCTGAGGAAAATGCTTCAATACAGAAACAAAATGCCTCTGACCTCTCACCCCCAGCTGTCACCTACCACCTCTCACTGGAACGCATGTGAGGTATCCTCAAACAACTGCAGTCGTAATCAATGAAGATCCCAACCTGAACGGAATCTGCCTTGAAACAACCCCCTAGCCTCTCCAAACTCCTAATTAGAAGCAAGCTCCCCACAAACCTGGACAAACCAATTCAAAGCGGCACTAGACCCTGCCAGAACAAAGCAAAACCTGCAGCTAGATCTCTGCTGCTACAATGAACAACATTCTCCTCAAAACATCTTTCATGTTCTATGGATCCTAGACATACCTACCACAACACGTCCCAACAAGAGCTATGTCCTTGAAACTATGTCTTTTGCATGAACTCGCATAGAAAAATGATAAAAGACAAAAACGTCTTGTTACCTGTGGGTGAACACTTTTCCCAGTGGCACTCTCTAAATCACTCTAAATCTGACCTCTGTCCTCATACTTAAAGGAAGCCTGCACAGCATTTTCAAAACATGAGCCTGGTAACTAAATTCAGAACTTTGCTAGATACTAAAAATCATGGACTGAATAGAGGTGCTGGATTTATAGCTTATAACAACAATTTATAACTCACTAACAGCTCGCACTCACCTAGTTCCTTTCTTCCTGTGACCGGAAGGATGTTAATGGTCCAGTTCACCTTAATATGCCTTAATACTTAACCCAAACAATCTTTTCCACATTATATTTGGCTGTGACACCGAGCCTGTTTCCCAGACATGAAGAAAAACCTCTATGTTCAAAAGCCTGTGTGTCTCACCGATAGACGTTAGTTCAATAAAAGAGAGGTTACTGTACCCATCTTGTCTTTCTTCTACTTATCATTCCACATGTTTTGCCTTTTGTCAGAAACATAGGAGGCTGAATATCAAGACAAAGCAATGTTAGGTGATGTGCAGAAAGTTTGTCCTACTGGTGTACTACACAGAGTAAGTGCTATGTCCATGAAGATTTTCTGACTAGCACTTACTGCTAAAACGGAGTAGTTTTCAGAAATCACTTTTGAATGGGGCATGTTTTCATTGTAAGAAATATTGTTTTAAGTTTGACTTTTTGTTTGCCACTTTCAGTCTTTAAGGTAGGTTCTACATTTATTTTGCCAACTGAAAAGATGCTCTGTAAACCCTAATCTTGTTTGTCTGCATTGCCAGCGAGTGATACAGCACAATGCTTTGGAAGATCGGTCAATATCGGATAAACAGCAGTGGGATGCAGCTATTCACTTCATGGAGGAGACTCTCCAGAGTCGCCTCAAAGATAGTGAGTGTCATATTTTCTATTTGCTGACAGGGAAAAGCTTTCTGTGCAGGGCTGTGGGGGTGTTTAATTACAGTGGTGTTCGGTGTGGAGTACACATCAGACTCACTGATGATGCAATACTCGCACACTTAGAATTAATGAACGATAGATCTAAATCCCCTAGACAGCTTTGAAAATTTCAAACCTCATTTAAAAAGTGAATACGAGGAGTTAAAGTCCACTTTTTTTTATCATACTTAAGGTTTTAGCTTAAGAAGCAACTTTTCTAGTAGCATGTATTTTACTGAGGCTTAGTCGGCACTGGTGGAGAAAATCGACATAAGTTGCGCAATTCCAGCTACATCAGTTGCATAGCTAGAGTCGACATACCTGACGTTGATTATCGGGGCAGCCCCATAGCGGGAGGTCAATGGGAGAAATTCTCCCATCAACTTCCCTGACTCCTTGTGACTGCAAGGAGTACCACAGTCGATGGGGGCACCTTGAGCATTTGATTTAATGGGTGTTTAGTAGACCCTCTAAATCGAATTTGGAAGATTGATCGCCGGAGCATTGATCCTCTGGTAAGTATAAACAAGGCCTCTGAGTGATACCTAATATCTTGTTTCCTTTTCTAGCTGAATCTGTAATTGAAGACATGGTGGGCCCAGACTGGAAAAAGAGATGGTTCTACTGGGTAGGCCGCACTAAAGAACAGGTAAAAGCAAACAAATACTGGATGGCTTGCAGCTGCATACTCTTATGGGCATGGTGATTATTAGTGACTAAAGTTTAAAATTATGGGCCTGTGCACTCTGGTGCTATTGCACATGCCAAATAGGTGATTGTGTACACAGTTACATTTCCCAGTGATCATTTCTAAGCTTGTGTCAGCCCAGAGGACATTATTTCTCTTGGAGATCTGCCACGTGCATTAGATAAAAGATTATAAACTTACTTCCTTTCTACTTCATTGGAATTATGTGTTTTACTCTTCAGTTGTTACGCTGGATGTTTGCAGTAATGAGGAAAGTTCTATTCTTGGTAGATAAACCTATATGTAAGCAGGAGGTTAATTAATTTAGTCTTTTGCATCACACAGTGAAGTATTCCACCATGCCTAAATAATGTTGTTTCAGTAACAAACTACAGTTTTACATCTGGCCCGTGGATAGTTAATGTTGTCTAACACACTCTTCTAAGTTATGAGCAAGTGAGAAACTTTTTTCCATTAAATGTAATGTGTCTGTTGGGACTCAACTCCCCTTTGAGTAATCTTGAGAATATCTGTATACAATAGGTCCTCAAAGCTGTGAATACCAGCATTACAAACTGACCAGTCAACCACAACCTCATTTAGAACCAGAAGTATGTAATTAGACAGAACACACACCCTTCAAAAAAGAGGCCAGTACAGAACAATGCTGTGTAAAAACATTAACTAAAAAAAAAAGAAAAGCAGCATTTTTCTTCTGAGTAGTAAAGTTTCAAAGCTGTCATAAATCAGTGTTCAGTTGTCAACTTTTTGCAAGACCAACCATAATGTTTTGTTTAGAGTTCTGAGCTTTTCAGGGTTGTGAAAAGCTTCCACTTCCTGGGAGTTTCATTCCCTGAGGTTCTGCTGTAGAAAGACCTTGGAGGGGGGGACCATGCTATAACATAGCACAGGCAGGAGACTGCATCGTGAATAATATTTAACAGCAGCAAGATCAAGATAAGAAAGAGTTTTGAAAATTTTCCTATTGGGTTGACAGAGTTCACGGATCCATTTTCTTTCCATGGCTTGCTTTCTCAGCATTCGATATTCAGGGTGACTCGAAAAAGGTTGGGTCTGTGAGAAGTTAAGACTGAATGTGGTACTTTGTCTAAGGAGCAGATAACAGGCTGTGAAATTACAGTGCAGCTGGGTGGAGTTTTCAATGCAGTCTTTAATTAAAACCTTTCTTGTCAAGCAATCTGCACTTCAGATGTTTTGTCCATATTGGCTGTGTCTAGACCAGCAAGTTTTTCCGCAAAATCATCTGCTTTTGCGGAAAAACTTGCTAGCTGTCTACACTGGCCTCTTGAATTTCCGCAAAAGCACTAACGATCTCATGTAAGATTGTCAGTGCTTTTGTGGAAATACTATGCTGCTCCCGTTCAGGCAAAAGTCTTTTTCCGAAAGACTTTTGCGCAAAAGGGCCAGTGTAGACAGCTGAGATTTCTTTTCCGTAAAAAAGCCCCGATCGTGAAAATGGCAATCGGGGCTTTTTTGCGGAAAAGCGCGTCTAGATTGGCACTTTTTGCGGAAAAGCATCCGTGCCAATCTAGACGCTCTGTTTCGAAAATGCTTTTAACGGAAAACTTTTCCGTTAAAAGCATTTTTGGAAAATCATGCCAGTCTAGACGTAGCGTGTGTGTGTGTGTGTGTGTGTGTGTGTGTGTGTGTGTGTGTGTGTGTGTGTGTGATATATTTATTATTACTACACATGCTCAAGGGTTAAGTCTAGTTAAGGGTTTCTTTAGTATGGCCTAATGGCATAGATATAGTATGCCGTGCAAACAGAGTGACAACTTCACACAAATGGTAGTGCTGGGAAATGACCAACTGCAAGTATTGTGGGAGTGTTTGTGTTTGAATTGAATCTCTTCTATTTAAGAATATTCGCAGTGAAACAAAAAATGAACTTGAGAAGATGATCAAATGCAATGAAGACCACGCAGCTTACCTTGCAAATGACGAGGTGACAACTGTCCGAAAGAACCTTGAAGCAAAAGGCGTAACAGTGGACCCGTGTTTGGTAAGATGCAACTTACTAGCAGAACATATGGAAGTATTTGTATGCTCTTCCAAGGTGTCCTAAAAATAACTATCTAAGTAACTAAACTTGGAATTCAGATGTTTCAAAATAAATGATTAAATGAATGTTTTCACGCAATACACACATTGTTGTAGGCCTTATTTGTTGGCTCAAATAACCGAAGTTCAGCAGTTCAGGGTGGAATCCGAATCTGCTATGCAGATATATTGCCTGTGACAAAAGCCCATATGGTAGCATGTCTGTCCCTAAATAGCATAGTCCATACAGTGTGTAGGGGAGGCAAATCTTCCACAGAGAACAGAGTAATAATTATATCTATTCTGAGTTATTTACAAAGACTCTGTGATTTGTATTTAATTGTATGTGCAGTTGCGTTTGACTGAAGTTCATGTTTTATGTCCATGAGGTGAAGTAGCCAAGGAGGTTGAAGTTCGCTCTGGCCAAAGGGAGCATGTTCTGTCCAAGGGCTGGGCCAGCAGGGTTAGCATCTTGTGGAAAAAGGTCAACAGTTCCAGTCATATAAAGTTCTTCAAGTCCTAGGCTCTTCATTTCATTAAACATTCAGCTTATAAAATTAGTTAAGTGAAATTTCAGATGTTGTCAGTATTAGGTACATGAACATTTTCTTCAGTGCTGTGTTGTTTGGTAGTAACTCTGGCCCCAATCCTGCACACACTTAAGCACATGCTTAACTTTACTACCATGAACACTCAAGCTAAGTACATAGTTGTAATACTTAACTATTATACAGCAGTTCCCATCAGAGGATCTCAAAGCACTTTACAGAAGAAAGTAGTGGCATTTTCCCCTGCTTAGAGTTGAGAGAAATTGAGGCAGAGAGGTCAAGTGACATGACTTGCCCAGGGCCCTCAGCTAGTCAGTGGCAGTCAGAACAGAATCCATTTCTTCAGAGTTCAAGCACAGTCCTTCATGTGCTAGAACACACTGCTGTGAGAAGAAACCAGAGTGTGTGCTGAAGAGTTTTCAAGATTTGGGGCTTAAAGAAATCTGCTCAAGGAAAGTTCTAAGTGTGAGCACTTCCTTCAGAAACCTAAGACCCACTCATATGCTTACCTGGCTAAACAGCAAGTTAACTAGCGTAGGTCATTCAGAGCGCTTGATCCATTGTGCTCAAATGAGTCTTTGCAGCATATGATGTTACTTGCATTTAACTCAGAGTAACTGTGTGCCATTTAAACATGCAGACAGTGTCTGCACACAATCATGTTAAGCTTCTGGGAGGATGTTGCAGACTTTGTAGAGCAGAAATGTAAACATGCTATTTGACAGAATCCTTTTTAATGTTTGCTTTGGATTCAGTTAAGATGTTGATTATATGTAGCTTTCATTAATTTACTATCTGTTAACCGCATAACATTTGCACAATCCTTTTCCCTCAATGTTTAAATCAGTTCTGAACTTTTTTCTTGTGCTTGCGGATGAGATGTGCTTATTAAAATACATACAATATTAACCGGAGAATGCTTATGCAATTAATCCACTTTCTTCTTAGATTAAAGACACATGGCACCAAGTTTATAGAAGACATTTCTTGAAGACTGCTTTGAGCCACTGTAATCTGTGTCGAAGAGGTTTTTATTACTACCAAAGGCATTTTGTGGACTCTGAGGTAACTTAAGGAAAACAAGGGAATTTAGGGAATGCATACTGTTGCAATGTCTATTGAGACCTAGTCAAAAAGAAAGCAGCCATTTAAAATTAATCTTTTTTTATAAGCTTTTAAATATTCAATATGGTATTTATAATCCCAGCTCACTGCTTTAAATGGACAAAATTCCATGAGGTGGTAATTATATAAAACGCCCACTAGATGTCAGTAATCAACTAAGCATCTATTTACCTGATTCTCACTCTTCAGTGTGTTATGACAATTTAATGTTACAACTGTCCTGGTGGACTATTGGCATCTCGCTGGTATCCTCTTATTTCTACCCCCACCCCCACCCTCCTTCTCCAATTAAAGTCTTCTCTTCTTACTTCTAGATTTCAAAGCTGTAGTTGAAGAAAAGCCTTAATGCTAAGGAGAGTGGCTTTTCTGCAAAGAGGGTAGGAAAGTAATGTTGGAAAGAGAAGTAAGGGTTAATATTTGGCACAATAAAATGTGGGCCATGTGTAAGTAATTTTCATTTTTAACAATCCGCCACAGAGCTAACATTCAGACTTCCTCTGTTGAACCTTTTAGCGTATCAGGGGAACTGTCAGTATTTGTAAAAGAAACGCTAGAAGAAAGATGGTGATTTTTGCTCTGGTGCAGTGGTTTGGAAATCTATTTTTGATCCTGCTAATGGACATCATCCCTGGAGGTTGGAAATGGCTCAGCACGTTTCACAGATTTATACTCACAATTATGGGATGATAAAGCTGACAATATTTCGTCTGTTGAGAGAGCCACCTTTTGTAGCTTCATATATGGTTGGTATTTTAAACTGTGGGAGTTGGATGAGTGCAGTGCTGTCTGCAGAGGTACAAAAGGGAGGCTTGTTTTTAGGCTCTTTAATCAGTGTGCTGAAATAAAGGGAAAATTGCCAAAAAACGAAAACCGAAGAATCTCCCCGTGATTAATGGGAAAGAATCAATGTACACAGTCTGAAACCCTCCTTGTCCCTCCCATAGAAGCCTTTCTGCAGGACTGGTGTGGGCGGGGCAGTTGGCATAAGATGGGTTTCAGGGAGAAGCTGGGGAGTTGCCATCCACTGACACCAGGCTTAAAGGCAGCAAACCCAGCTGTAGTTGATATGTCAGCGTCCCTTCCATGTTCTACTCTCTTTGGCAATCCCTCTAAGACACTGGAGCTTCCAGTGGACCCGGGCTATCTCCTGCAACCACGTGTGCAACCCCTAACTCCTACATTGTCTTGGGAAGCTTTTGTCAGGCAGCAAGACAAAGTTTGGAGTTAGCCTGTCTCCGCCTTGTGGATCTGATCCAGCCGAGAGCACCATGTGCACAAACGCAGTTTGTATGTCGTGCCTGCAGGTCGCTTCCTCTGTGTCCCTTCACAACCTTTCTCTGGAGAAGGGTGAACAACTGCATGCCAGCAGGGGTAGGAGAAATATTTAACGAGGTCGAGAGCGGCCTTGGGCATAGGGATTTTGGCTGTTTTTTTGGTCATACACAGCCCATCTTAACTTGTGCGAAGACATGCAGAAAACATGTCTCTGCTACAGTCGCTGTTCTCGGGGTGTGTGTCAGAGCAATGTCACCGTTCTAGTGCAAGGGCTCCGCAGGGAAGGCAGCCAGCGCTAACACCTTCCTCTGTTCCAGCTCGAATGCAACGACGTGGTTCTGTTCTGGCGCATACAGCGAATGCTGGCGATTACAGCGAACACGCTGAGGCAACAACTCACTAACACTGAAGGTGAGGCTTGGCTCGACTGCCCTGTTTGCAGCACAGTGCTAATATTCTCTCCCGTCTGGATGCTACTGCCAGGTTCATTACGCTGCAAGGCTGGCTTTGGGCAAAGAGAGGTGTGAAACATTCAGTTGGCTTTCATGTTGGGAACGTGTTAAATATCATAAACCAGGGAAACAGCCAACCACCAACTAGTTTCCGGTGCTAACTCATTGTACGCTCCTCAAAAGGTTGAAGGTTGTTCCGAGCAAGCCCAGAGGATGCAGGAGGAAATGGGCACAAGGGGGTGTGGTATGAAAATGCTCAGCAAGGAACAGAGGGAGAATCATGACAAAGCCTGACTCTAGCCAGAGGAGATTCACAACTCTGAGTTATTTGGCTGCAGGGCAGAGTCTCCTGTCACCTAGATTCCTCTTGGGAAGGGCAATTGAAGGCTCATTGCCGAACGTGGCTGTTAGTTCTGATGTCAGGGCGTGTAGATGAGGCTGGAAAGCTGCACTGCCTTCGTCAGCTCTTGACCTCTCACTTCCTACATTTTCTTAATTGTATCCTTTGGTATATCTGGTCATGCCAATTTTCTTCCACTATTTGATCTGAGGAAGTGGGTCTGGCCCACGAAAGCTCATCATCTAATAAACCATCTTGTTAGTCTTTAAAGTGCTGCATAGTCCTGGTTTTTGTTTCCTACACTGGACGTTCTCTCGGCTTCCCAAGCATCTGGTGGAGATTGTGCCCATGGAAAATGAAGGAGATGGCTCTACAGCCTGAAGAAATAGTGCAGGGAACATGAGACCCTCACCCCTCAGAACTTTTCTCCAACAGTTTGCCATTTAGTGGTTCTTTTGGCTCCTACGCTCCTGTTGGATGCCGAGATAACGTGATACCCAAGAATACTTTTGTCCGCCTTCACTGCTTAAAGAGAGAGAGGCTTTTTTGAAGGGAAGGGGGGCATTTTACACATGGAGCACAAAATCCTCATGCTCTACAAGAGTCTTAACAGCCTTCCTTCCAGGAATCCAAGCTAGAGTCCCTTTACGCTTTTGTCCTGTGTATTTTAGAGACCATCTCTCGTTATGCTCCAAGCCAGACCTGGAGATCAGCTGAACTATTTGGAGAGGACAATTGGGAGATTTGTACATCTGGGGCTAGAGTGTCTCTGTGGACAGTGTTGATTTTTCAGGGCAAATGGCAGAGTTTATCTGTTTGCTCAGGCTTTTCCTGAGAGATTGGTTGAGTGTTTGGGAGTTCCTTAGTAGTGGTTGTCATGGTGTTAATTGATTAATGCACAAATGTGATTTTCTAGGGAAGACCAGAGTTTGTAGGTGTGTCTAGATATCGTATTTTAGACATTAAAAATTAAGTTCAATTAATAGCTTAATATCCAATACATAGGTTTTATTAAATCTAAGGCAAGATAAACTTGGAAACTTAATTAGTTGTTTAAATAATTGTGTGAACTCAGTCTGCCCAGACCATCATCCCCAAAACTTTAAAAGCGCAAAACACCAGGAATTTTCTTTCTTTTTTTCCATCCCATTCCAAAAAAAGAGGAATCTGCAAAAGAAAGCACATTTCTTTCATTTTAAACCCTGTCACACAATTCAGCACTCTTTTGCCCTGTGTTTTGCAGTCAGACGTTTGGAGAAGAATGTAAAGGAGGTGCTAGAGGACTTTGCTGAGGACAGCGACAAGAAGGTGAAGTTACTAACAGGCAAAAGGGTCCAGCTGGCAGAGGATCTCAGTGAGTAGCTGTTCTACGCGTACTTCACATACGCTGGGAAAGGAAATAGATAATGCACTGGCCCTTTCTTGCATGGAATTTGCCTGTTTGCTGACAATACTAAATGTTAATATAGATCCTGATCCTCGAGCTAGGTCTGGATCTTACCCAATATACGAACAACGCCATGCTATGCTGGAGGACTAGTGTGTTGCTCATTGTGGTGTCCTGATGAAAGTGAATGTTTGGATCCCACGTACATGTCTCCTTCAGGCTGTCGGGGTGGAAGGGTTAAGATCTGTTTCTTTCTGATCAGGGAACACAAGCTGCCTCTACTTGTAGGCCGCTTAATGCTTTCCATTGTAATAGATTCTTTCACCCCTTTCTGAAGCATTGTACAGTCAATGACTGCAGCAGGCATTTAAAATGTAGCCTGGGCATGGGCATGGTCCTCGCGTCAGGGAAGTGTCTTGTGCTGGCCTCGTGAAAAGCTGCTCAGAATTGGCCTACCTGTAAACCAACGAAAAGTGCCATTGCTCACCCAGCACAGATTGGTTTTTGGGGCATCACACCAAAATCCTTCATGTCATGAGCATGGTGCCCCTGTACCTCCTGTGACCTGCAAGCAGAGCAGAGCCTCCATGAGAGGAAAATGTACTGTGCAAAAAAAGCCTGATCACATAATTGAGGGCTATACAAGGGGTCCAAATTAAGGTCACAGGAGACAGTTGCAGGGGACCGTTGCTAAAGAAAAACATACATATACTAGGAAACAATACATTTTCCTAGTATATGTATTTCCTAACTTCAAAAACTGGACTTAGCGACTAAGTAATTGTCTTTTAGCATAGCGTTAGTGTAAGTAGTGAAGGCTATCCAGCGTAGCCTAGCATGTTCCTCAGCTTTCCCTCACTTAGCTAAGCCGTTCTAATCTCGTAGAAAGCTGCATCTCTCATTGCTGCTATATCTTCCTAGTATATGTATGTTTTTCTTTAGCAAAGGGTATGATAGCTAATGTTAACAATCCTATACGAAAACAAATTCCATGGCTAATAGGACATGCTGTTGACATCACCAGTTCATATGGTTACAGAGACAACCTGCAGTGTTGTCTTTAAATTAAAAGTGTAAACAAATTGGGGGGAGGAGTTCCCATAGAAGGTGTTGCTCTAGTATTTTGGGATTATTGTGAAGGAGAATTTTGGCTGTTGAAGTGGCTTAGTCCAGATCCTTAGTCTATTTCTTGATCTTAGTGTCTATGTGAAATAGGGAGCTGGAGCTGGTTGTTGATACAAAGTATCAGTATTGCTTCAGAAGCCCCACGTCAGCCCCACAATAATCTTACTATGTATTTTAGAAATGCGCATCTGTCCATTTATTCAAGATCTCCTCCTAAAAAGTAAGTGCTAGCGCCAGCGAATTTGGTATGCGGCTTCCTCTTATCATAACTTAAAGTAAGGTTTGGCTTGGTTGTACTTGAACAATGGGATGTGCCTGGAATGCGACTGTTTCTCATACAATGGAAAGGGAGGGTCTGATTGGTGGGATAGTTATGCAGCAGAATGGCCACAAGGGGCAGCCAGGGGCCAGAGATGGGGACTGGGCCAACTATAACCCCACTGGGCCAGCAGGGGTGGAGAAAGGGACAGCTATCTTACACTTTCTGAAATACGTAGTAGATCGGGGTGTCTCTTTCTCCCTCAGCTGGGGGACATGGATCCCTCCCCTGGCTGCAGCAGCCATGGACAGGTGCAGTGAGAGGGGGCCGGGATTGTCCTCGCTTCCTGGGGCAGCCTGCATCCCAAACCCCTCATCCCCAGCCCTGCCCAAGAGCAATGATTTAAATGAAGAAAAAAACCAGACTTATTTGAGTTAAAGATTTCAGCAACACCGGGTAAATCTTTTATTAGTACCAGGTTTTACCTCTGTGCCTTCGAGCTGCTTAAAGAAAAACGAGAAGCAATCTGATATTTAAACTCAGGGTAGTATGAGTTTAAGGGAGAAATGATTTCCTTGATTGGTGAGAAGTGCTGTTCATTTTCTGTTGCTTAATATTGTGTTTTTAATACTCCTTTTGCTGCTTTGATGCCTATCCACTATTCTTCTTGTTTGCAAAAGCTTCGGATGACAGCATCATTCTCTGCTAGCATTGGTTTGTCCTTCAGTATTCAGTGCTGTATGGGTGATATCTTTTAGAACAGGGCTACTCAACTTTGGAAGCCCCGGGCGTCACAATGACACGGCACATGCCAAGGGCCCCAACGTAAGCGTGGTTGCATAGACATGCACGTTGATATGCAGATGTATGAAAATAGCTTCTTTCACACTGACGGGCATGAATACCAAGATTAAGCCTTAAACCAGGGCACCAGACCCGAACGCGGCCAGTGTGAGCCAGTCAGCACCTCTCAGGCTCTGCCCGCCAGGCTAAGCAGCCAGCACTTCCCACAATGCCCCAGTGCTCCTGGCACTTCCTCCCTGGGGGCTAGAAATGCCGACATCCTGTACTGTCTGTTCCAGCCAGCCCGTCTGCTTGCATCTTTCAATGCCCGCCCCGCCTGGGAGACGCCTCCTACTTTTTTTGTTTCGGCTCCTACCTGCAGACTACGTGTTGAGCCCTGCGTAAACCCAAACCTCACCGTGGGCCGCAAATAAACGGGCTGTGGGCCGCATGTGGCCCCGTGAGCTGCGTGTTGAGTAGCCCTGTTTTAGAAATAATCAGTACGTGTGTAAAACAAATGCTTGGGAAGTTTGGTAAATTGGTGCTGCAAACGAGGAGAAAATTGAAGCCTTGAAGATGTGATGCTGGCAAAGATTCTTGTGTATTCCCTGGATTGAAACAAGATGACTATTGATGTTAGAAATATGACCTGGGAGGAAGCAGAGCCTGCTGTTAGAAACCAGGAGACACAGACTTGGGTCCTTTGGTCATGTGAGGAAGGAGATGGAAATAACTTTAAGTGATCATGGGAATGATGGTGGTGAGTCACTGCCGTAGGGAATGGCCAGTGAGGAGATGGAGAGGTGCTAGGCAGCTGCTAAGGGGGGGCTTTGGAAAATTCTGCTGTCACAAGTATTCAGAGATGAATTGGTGATTTTACTTACTTACCTAGTGCTGAGAAGTAAACGTAAGTTATAAAAGCTAAAAGTTGGACAATAAGACAACCTTGGAAGTGTTACTTGCCGTAGAATATTTCTAGACTGTTGTGGTTTCCAGTTGTGTTCGCTGAAGGACACGACCTTTGCTTCTTGCCACAAGGTATCTAAAGCAGAAAGCAAGACTTCCAGTGACAGTAGGATGACTTGTGACCACAGACATCTTGTATATGGGGCCCTGCCAAATTCATGAACCATTTGGGTCAATTTTACAGCCAGAGGGTGTAGTCCAATTCAAGTTAGTCCAGTTCACGATGTCAGATGTTTACACCTGATGTAACTGTGTTGGTCCCAACCAAAAATAGGCTGGGCGGGGGGGTGTCAAAGGCTTGCCATCCTCATTCCTACGCCACTGAGCTTCCTGTTGCTAGAGGACATTGCGGGGGTGGAGGTGGGTACAGTCTCTCCCAGCTGTTAGTCCTGGCCACTGGCAACTTACTGCATTGTGCCCTTGCCAGTTTAGGTACTCCCTGGGGAATGGGTGTCCCTACCCCAGCTGGAGGTGCAAGGGCCATTTGTCACACTCTGATTTAGGGATGTTACATTTAGATTAATTCTGCTAATCGAATAGTTGATGCAATTTGCATGGACTATTCAATTAGTCGGTTAGGGCATCTCCACCTTTGGAGGGCTATACTTCAGAGGTGAAAGCACTGCAGGGAGAACCCCTGCTGGCCCTGTGTTCCTTGCGGCATTTCAAATTGACAGCACCACATGGAGCCTGGGCTTAGCTGGGGACTCTGAGTCCCCAGCTGACCCCGGACTCCACACGGCGCTGCCGCTTTGACACGCCACGTGCAGCCCGGGGCCTCCGGTGGCGCTTTTTTTTTGGTTCTCTTACTGTGTTTTTTAATTTGGGATATACATTAAGATTTCACTGTCTATGATACGCTTTTCATGGCTTTCACATTGGTAGGGCCCTACATACATGCTGTGAATTCAGTCCACGAATGTCAATGAGTCTCCAGTAGTTTATATTAATGAAATAAAATGTTTCAACAAAAAATGCCCAAGTCTGTTTCTTGCCAGTCCAGGCCGTAGCCAGAAGTATGGATTTTTTTTTTAACTAACTAATCCTCATCCAGTGCACAGTTCCAGTGAATCCTAGAGCTGGAAGAGACCTCAGAAGGTCATCAAGTCCAGCCCCCTGCTCTAGGCAGGACCAACCCCAATCTTGTCAAGCCGAGACGTAAACACCTCTAGGGATGGAGACTCTACTACTTCCCTAGGTAACCCATTCCAGTGCTTCACCACCCTCTTAGTGAAATAGTTTTTCCTAGAGGTCCAGGTTGGATATTCTCTCCACAACTTGAGCCCATGGCGCCTTTCTCCATCCTCTTTGGAACCTCCCTTCAGGAAGTTGAAGGCTGCTCTCAAGTCCCCCCTCACTCTTCGCTTCTGCAGACTAAACAGACCCAACTCCCTCAGCCTCTCCTCATAAGTCATATGCTCCAGCCCCCTAATCATTTTGGCTGCCCTCCGCTGGACCCTCTCCAATGCGTCCACATCCTTTTTGTAGTGGGGGGGCCCAGAACTGGACACAATACTCCAGATGAGGCCTCACCAGAGCCGAGTAAAGAGGAATAATCACATCTCTGGATTGACTGGCAATGCTCCACTTAATGCAACCTAATATGTCATTAGACTTCTTGGCTACAAGGGCACACGGTTGGCTCATATCCAGCTTCTCCTCCACTGTAACCCCCAGGTCCTTTTCTGCAGAATGGCTGCTTAGCCAGTCGGTCCCCAGCCTGTAACAATGCTTGGGATTCTTTCTTCCCAAGTGCAGGACTCTGCACTTGTCCTTGTTGAACCTCATCAGATTTCTTGTGTCCCAATCCTCCAATTTGTCTAAGTCCCTCTGG